GAGGCGGAGGGCCGGGGTGGGCTTTCTGATAGCCCTCAGACTCTCTGCCTGTACGTATATATCCAAATGTAAAGGTATTGTTTTTGGGTCACGATATAAATTGATTTCTAAGCCTAAACTGGAGCTATCTATATCTGGAGAACCCATAAAACAGGTGTACAAAGCCAAATTGCTGGGCCTAGTCCTTGATAGTCATCTATCATGGACTGAGCACATCAATACAGTTGTCAGTAAAATGGGCCAAGGCACTGAAGTTACAAGAAAGTGCTCTCCTTATGTACAATCACACATGCTGGGTCAAGTGTCCAAATCATTAATTTTGAGCCACTTGGACTATTGTTCAATAGTATGGTCATCTGCATCCAAAACTAATCTTGCAAAATTACAAGTCTCACATAATAGGGATGCTAGACTTGTTCTGGGCTGCTCAATAAGAACTAGCACTGAAAAGTTGCATTCTAGCCTTTCTTGGCTCACCATTGAGGATTTTTTTAAACTATGGCCACATTTTTTAGCTGCATTATTAACTTAAAAAATCCAGTATTTTTATTTGAGCAAATAATTTATTGCAATAACACACATAAACACAACACTAGATTTAGTAATGGTCATATTGTGGTTCCCAGTCTAAGGACTAACTCATTGCAAAAAACTGTCATTTACAGAGCCATAACATACTGGAATAGTTTACCTTTCAAAATCCGGCTAATTAAAAATAAATTATCCTTTAAAAAGGACATGCAGAGGTATCTGCTGGTCTGTAGATGAATGTGAAAAGTAGAAGGTATGCTCTGTGCGTGTTTACAATATGTCTTTTCTGACTTTTAAAAAAATATATATATATATTTTCAATATATTGATTATTTAGTATTCTACTTTAATGTATGTAGCCTACAGTGTACCCAATTTTGAACTGAAATGACTGAATGTAATTCCTTTTTTTCCTTCTTTATTTTCTTTTCTTCTTTTTTTTCTGTTTAACTTTCATATAAACATAAGCTTTGTATTTTATAATGCAAATTGATGAAATTGTTTTATATGTAATGTAGTGTAATATATTGTATGTAAGGTGTGGACCCCAGGAAGACTAGGTGATTGCCAAGGCATTCAGCTAATGGGGATCCTTAAAATAAACATAAATAAACATAAACATTAGCTCTGCCTTACCTTTACTATCTACTATATTATTTACATTATCTCTCATTACTGGATATCCATATTCTTTATAATGACCTGACATTTTCTTAATTATTCCCCACACTTTCCCTAGTGGTGTGGTTCTTCCTAGAGAATCACAGTATTTCCTCCAATACTCCCATTTAGCGGTCTTAATTATGCTTCTCACTATAGCTTGGCTTCTCTTGTAATTTATTAAGTTTTGAAAACATAATGTCCTTTTCAGCAGTTTAAAAGCTTTATTATGGTTTTTAATAGCTTCTGCACATTCCTTTGTCCACCAGGGAACCAACTTTGTCCTTTTAGTGTCACCACTTCTAGGGATACATTGTTTTGCAGCATCTAATATACCCTTTCTGATATCAGCGCACCAGTTATCAATTGATTGGTTTATATTTACACTATTTAAGTTGCATTCACTTAATACTTTAAATACCTTCCAGTTAGCTTCCTCTAACTTCCACCTCTTTTCTCTCTCATTCAGATCTACTTCATTTTCTGTTCCTATATGAATACTGATTGGGTAATGATCACTCCCCATTGTGCTATCATTCAGTACCCTCCATTCACTTATTGCACCCAAAGTTTGAGAGTTGAGTGTGACATCAATAGCTGATTCTGTGCCTTTTGCCAAATTCACCCTCGTCCCTGCCCCGTTATTTAAACACACCAGCTCTTTTTCATCCATGAGATCTTCTATAATTTCCCCATTTGCATCTTGTTGATTCCCCCAGAGTTTGCTGTGTGCATTAAAATCCCAGCACCAGATTATTTTTCCCCTCCATTGTGCCAAGATGGACTCTAACTTTCCTTTGTCTAAATGTTTGCATGGGTTATAGAAATTGATTATTTTTATGCCTCCATCACGAGTCCACACTTCAACTACATTCACCTCTAGTTCTTGCACATACTTTATTTCCCTATACCTTATCCCCTGCTTTACAAATATTGCACACCCTCCCCCACTTCCACTTGTTCTATCTCTGCATATGCAAGAATATCCAGTTATCACAAACTTATA